ATCGTATGAACTGTAAAGTGCAGTGAGTTTTCCTTGGAAGATGAAGCTGAGACTGATGACAAAAGACCCCATTACTTAATTGAGTTTAATAAAATATGGAAGGACAAACTTTGCCATGGTTTCAAACACTTCAATGAATAAACAGGATCATTCTGAAAGCTTGCTAACTGCATAGTTCTTAGGAGTGATTTTTTTTTTTTAATTGATGAGTGAGACAACAAATATGGAACTATCCAGTAACATCGATGGCATCATCCCAATTTGATTTGCAACAAAATCAAACTAACAGATAATATTCTTCGAATAAATTTACTTTCAGGATTTAGAGTAAAATGATGATAGGAGGAAGTGGGTTAAAAAGTTGCTAACTGGGAGTTGAGAAAAAAATTGCTTTGGAAAATATAAACCATATTGTTAAATGAAAAAGGTGTGGTGAGGTTAGCTAACAGCTAAGGCCAGCTCAGGATCATCAAATAGGAGTTTTCGTCTGTAAAGGTTTTTATTTGGGAGGGGGCGAGGTGGGCACAGTGGACAGGGACCTGCTCAGTCCCTCTTGGTAGCCACTTTCTTCATGGCAGCCAGGACATTGCTGAGCAACTCTCGCTTCCTCTTGGCATGGATGTGTATCCCCACCCTTTTCTTGATTAACTTGAGAGCGCCCTTGTCCTTGGAGACCTTGAGCAGCTCCTTGGCCCGGCGCTCATGAGGCACAAAGCCACACACCTCCCAGATCGTGTCCCGCATAAACTTGGTGTGCTTGATGAGGCACCCACGGTGGCGACTGTGCCTTGACTTGCTCACGTTCTTGGTTACTTTGTGGCCCTTGTTGAGGCCAACGGCCATAGGGTAGCACACAGCCATGACTTCTGCGGCAGAAGACTCAATTAGGAGTTTTATGAACATGTTAAATTTTACCATGTCATGAATTAGAATGCAGTTTTATTAAATGTTGGTTGAATGGAACTGGGGCAGCGTGGATCCACAATTGAGGAGAAGAACGATGTGGAAGTTTCAGTAATAACATCATTATTTGGTAAATGACACGAGTTCTTTTTCCATCAGTTTTAACTAGAAACTAGAGGTAGAAACTAAAATATGCATGTGGTTTAAAAAAAGACATGCTTCTAAAATCCAGTTTTTAAAGCTAAACTAAATTCAAATCAAATGTTGAAATTATTTTATATACATGTCTCGGTGTCAAGTGTCGTCGAATCGGTTCTGACTTACAGTGACCCTGTATAGGGTTTTCAAGAAGCGGCTGGTGAGCTTGAACGGCCGACCTTGAGATTCAAACCGACCTTGCATATTAACCCATAGCTGAAAATATTGAACCTAATACCTGATGGCTCCATATGATAAGCAGTGGTCTGCAACCCACAAGGTCCACGGTTCAAGCCTTCTAGCCGTACCACGGGAGAAAGAAGAAGTTTTCTGCTCCTGAGAAAAGTTAAAGCCTCAGAAACCCTGTACAGGGTCACTATGAGTTGGAACATATTTGGCGCCCTTAACAATAACAACAATGCTGCAGAGGATGGTATTTTTATTTACTTTTCTGCTTCAGGTCTGACGGTTGGGGAAAAATCTCTGTATCATTCAGGAAATGTGTGACAACTCACTTTTTATTGCTCATGGTGTCTCCAGGAAATTAATGGTTCTGAAAAACAAAACTGTTCTGAAAACTGCCCCAGAAAAAGCACTTTTCTACACAAACAGCAAATAAGTTCTTTAGTGGGTTCTTCCCAGAATGTTCTTTAATCAAGGGCCTGAACAATATGTGATGATACATCCCAGAAACATAGAGCCATTTCTTCTTTTAGTAGCTTGCCAAAATGTAAGTGCTTGTGAAATCTTAAGGTCTGAAACCTTGGCACCAGATAGTTATTTAGAAACAATGAGCATTTCTTTGTGCCTCTGGAGAATGCAATTTAATGGAAAATGGCATACACGTGCACCTGAGGGCGGTAACCACACACACATGCTCCTACAGCTACTAATAGGACACATACACACCCACGAATACAAACATATTCACTGACTTCTGGCTGTGACCCCCTGCCAGAAATGCTGCCTGAAACATGAACATTTCAATTACTCACCCATTTATTTTGCCCTTCCTAGGTGGAAGGAGCTCTGGTAGCATTGTTGTTGTTGTTGTCAGGTGCCATCGAGTCGGAACCGACTCATAGCGACCCCATGCATGGCAGAGCGAAACAAATCCTGGGCTGGTAGCGTAGTGGTTACAAATTGGGCTGCGAGCCGCAAGGTCAGCAGTTCGAAACTACCAGCTGTTCCATGGGAGAAAGATGAGGCTTTCTGCTCCTGTAAAGATTTACAGCCTCGGGAACCCTGTACAGGGTCGCTATGAGTCGGAACCAACTCCACGGCACATAACAACAACAACAAAGGTGGTGTAGTGCTGTAGGATAAGCACTTGACCATATGGTTGATTTCAACAGCAAGATCGGGGGTTCAAACTCACCAGCTACTCCTTGGAAACTATAGAGTTGCTATCAGTTGGATGAATTTCATATGAATTGACTAGATGTATTTGTGATATGGAGTTGAGCCTACATCATCTTCAAGATTTCTTTAGAATGATCTAGCTTCTTTCCCAAATATCAATGGAAAGATAATATTTTTTTTTAAGTAGAAAATTTCACAAATTAACACACAGAATGATTTGAGTGTGTACTTACCAGTATTTTATCCATTGTGAGCTATAGGAATCTCTCAGAGGAAAAAGTGTGCCTTAAAAACTGCATTTGCAAAGCTCCCAAGTTCAGGGTCTGAACTAGAACTGCTCTCTCCACTGGTCTTTGTCACTCTTGACACCAATCTAGCCAGAGAGGCAAGAGGAGATCCCTGGGATGGACTGACAGTATCATTGTTGCTGTTGTTAAGTGTCATTGAGTCGGTTCTGACTCATAGTGACCCTGTATGGGGTTTCCAAGGAGTGGCTGGTGGGATTGAACCACCAACCTTGTGGTTAGCAGTCTAGTGCTTCTCCTACAGTACCATTGTTTTTAAGTGCCATCAAATTGATGCCGACTCATAGCAGCCTTCTCTAGGGTTTCCGAGGCTACACATCTTTGAGGAAACAGGAAGCCTCATCTTTCTCCTACGGAGCAGCTGGTGGGCTGGAACCATTGACCTTATAGTTAGCAATTCAGTGGTTATCCTAAAGACCCATAGCATTCCATGTTGTTATTGTTAAGTGCTGTCAAGTTGGTTCTGACAGCACTCCTAACATGGTGACAATTCAAGTGAAAAAAAACTTGTTATCTGTTTTTCAATCCAATTTTTGTTTCTTTGTACTGTTCTAGTACCTGGTTTTTGTTGTTAAATGAAATTGAGTTGGTTCCGACTCATAGCAACCCTGAATAGTCAGGTTTCCAAAGAATGGCTGGTGGGTTTGAACCACTGACTGTGAGGTTAGCAATCCAGTGCTTATCCTACAACATTACACCAGGACCACATCCAGTACTTGGCAAATGAACCAGTTCTATACTGTTGTTGTTGTTAAGTGCCGTCGAGTCGGTTCCGACCCATAGCGACCCTGTACAGGGTTTCCGAGGGTGTAAATCTTTACGGGAGTAGAAAGCCTCATCTTTCTCCCGCAGAGCGGCTGGTAGTTTCGAACCGCTGACCTTAAGGTTCGCAGCCCGATTCGTAACCACTACGCTACCAGATTTCTATACTAGGCTTCTGGGTATTAACTTTGGGAGCACTGGAAAATCTTTTAATATATTGTTTAAAAACGTTTCTCCTATTTAGTTTAAAAGTATTGCTGATTCTCTGTCGTATTATTCCGTACCTTTCTAAAGTAGAACATGGAGAATTTTATGCACAATATCTGTTATGGAGAACATACAAGAATTTCAAATATTCAGTTTAATGGTTACTTTACACCACTGATAAGAAATTACTGCAGTCACATTTTTCAACATTGAAAGGCAGACACAAGTTCAAGTGTATCCACACAAATCTCTTTCCTTTTTGGTTTGTAAAAATACTTTTTTATTAAATTATAATTCAACAACATTCATTACCAGGAATCCATCCCATATAAATAACTCACTCATCATAAACAAAAACCATATCCTTGTATATAATTTACTTATTTTTCTGATTCATACAGATGTTCCTGTCCTAGCAAAATTATATTTTAAATTGGCAGCTAATGATAACATATCTGCTTCATTTTACCTTCTTTATTTCAAATGTATTAGTTAATAACTAAAACTAAAATTGATAAGATTTTTGTTGTTGTTGTTGTTAAGTGCTGTCAAGTCAATTCCAACTCATAGCAACCCTACATAGAGTTTCCAAAGAGCAGCTGGTGAGCTTGAACTTCCAACCTTGTGGTTCAAAGCGACTTTGCATTAATTCACAGTGCCATTCAAAATAACATGTTATTGAGATACTTCAGTTATGATAGCTTTTATATTCTTGTGATGGGAAACTATAAGAAAGGAGCCAGTCTTCAACTAGCTTTAGCTAGAATCCAACAAAATTCCCATACCAAGGAATGCTGGAGATTGGATTTAAAAAGTTGTATTCTAAAATTTGAAGTATTGATGACACCAATCAAACAATTGATCAATCAAGCCAATGAATTGAAAGAAATCGTGATATTCCAATACCTCCAATGGTTCCTTGTTGTTTTGTTAACTGCCACCAAGTGGGCCCCACCTCCAGGTGACTCCGAGTACAGTGGAAAGCATGCTGTCCAAACCTGTGGCATCCTCATGATTGTTCATAGCAATACGCAGGCCTCCCAAAACAGACAGATACTGCCTTTGAGGTACATTGGCTGGGGATACAACCTGAGACTCCAGAATGGAAGGTGAGAATTCTATGACCTTGGCTTCATGGCCCTTGGCAATGGTGCTTTATCATTCTGCTTTTCTATATCAGGAACTTCAGTTTCACACCAAATCAGAAATATTCTGTGTAAATTGGCTCAGACACCAAGTTATGCTTGAGAATACATCTTCTGCTTAGTCTTTCCTAATGTATTCCCTGGAGAGAAGTTCTCCCTGGAAAGAAGTCAGTATCTGTCTGTTAGGAGAGGTCTGCATGTTGCTATGAACAATCATGAGGATTCCACAGGTTTGGACAGCATGCTTTCCACTGTACTCGGAGTCACCTGGAGGTGGGGCCCACTTGGTGGCAGCTAACAAAACAACAAGGAACCATTGGAGGTATTGGAATATCATGATTTCTTTCAATTCATTGGCTTGATTGATCAATTGTTTGATTGGTGTCATCAATACTTCAAACTTTAGAATACAACTTTTTAAATCCACTCTCCAGCCTTCCTGGGCATGGGAATTTTGGTGGATTCTATCTGAAGCTAGTTGAAGAAATGGCTCCTTTGATTCTGTGAATTTCCTCTTTGTGTATGCACCCTCCACATCCTGGAAAGCATGCTTCCTTGCTGGTTGGATTACTGGAGCAAAGGGAAGCACAGTAGAGGATGGGAGGAGGTGCTCAGATAGGAGTAATCCCAGGGTTCAGTAGACAAGTCCTGTTTGCTTGACCATTTTTCTAGGATGAGCCTCTCCCTTGATGGAATGTATTTTGGTTCATGTAGGATCTATATATGTGGCTGTCACCAAATGTTTTCTCTCAGAGGAAAATAAATAAAAGTGGCACAAACAAAACTTAAAAAATATTAGTTTCAATCCGCTACTTGGATATGTGCTTAATAAAAATATTTTGTTAGGAAAAAAATACTCGATATTTAATTCTGTGAATTGTATTCTTTACTAAAATCTGAGAGGAAACGGTGGGTGTTATCCCACAGAATGAAGAGAAAAGAATAGGCGAGCTATGCTGCTAAGGAGAAAGAGAGAAAAAGGTTCAGAAGGCCAAGTAAAATTCAGAAAAGAAATGTCAGGTTTTAAAACATTTAGTTTTAAAACTTATAGATTACAGTATTGATAAAATGAACACTGTCTGAAAATCCATTCTAATATGCAGAATGGAAATCATACTGACTTCTCATGATACTTTATCGAATTTTGTGATAATCAAAATTTGTTCTAATGATATCAAAGCATTGTGAGAAGTATTAACTATTTATTTAGATGAAACACTGATTTGTATAAGCACTAGTACATGGAAACCAGGCCAATTTGCCTAGTGACATCTTTTCTGGAACTACTAACAGCTGTTTATCCATTTCCATCTTCTGACAAAATCTGGAACATATATTTCTTTATTCGAATTAAAAAATGTTAATTGGAATAGTTAATTGATTAGTTGAAGTAAGTTATTATGTTGTTGCTAAGTGCCATCTAATCAGTTCTGACTCACACTGACTCTGTATAGTGTTTCTGAGGCTTGTAAATCTTTGGAAGCAGAAGACCTCATCTTTCTCCTGAAGTTAATAGAAAGTCGTTATAGACCTAGATATTATAACTACTGCCAAAATGTTACTTTTCATGTTATAATTGGTAAAGATTGCACAATTAGACAAAATATTCAGTGTTTGCAGGACAAATGCTAAAAGGCAACATATAGTTGTTGTGAGTGTAAATCAGTGGCAACCTCTTTTTAGGGAGGAGAGGCACAATTTGCAACATCTGTTAAACTTTTGAAAGAATAAGCATGCCATTATGAACCGAGAGAATTTAACTCACAGAGGAACCCTCACGATGTGCAAATAAATAAATATAAGAATACTCAAAGTAGTATTGATTTTAATAGCAAAATACTGGAAGCAATCTAAATATCTGTATATGGAGAATCGATTAAATAATTTTGAAGCATGTAATAGTATAGAAGACTCTGAAACCATATGGAAGAAAATGTTGGTGGGTGTGGCATGATAGGAAAAGTTGCCCATAACATATAGTGAGATTAAACAATGAAATAACTATAGCTTTTTTTTTTTTTTTTAAAGTCGAGGCCCAGACTCACAAAGAATAAAGGAATCATCACCCTCTAGTGGAGAATTGTAGCCATGCACTTTCCTACTTAAACCCACATTCTAAAGAAGTTTCAAGGTTTCATACTATTTATGGATAGAAACAACCAGTAGCTCACTAGAGAAGAGTACGGGTTAGGGGGTGTATACCACACTAGGTAACAGTTAGAGGGAGCTACACTAAAAGGAATGTTTATATACTTTTGTACCGTGGTTCAGCATAAGTTTATAGTTTTTAATAAAACTATGTCCCTGTAGTTAGTTATAACACAAAAATATGTTTCATAAGCCCAGTTTACATGAATTGATTAACCTACAAGGTTAAAACTTCTTGTTAATTTACTTTTGAACCTTCTAATACCTCCAGCGGATAAGAGATGTCATTATAACCCAATTACAATGATGCTTTTGAATCACGTGTTTTCTTCTGCACACGCTACAAGCAGGCCCTGCTGTTTTTGTTGTTCTGTCGCTGTTTCTTTAATTGCCAATTTTGTCAAATTTTCTAGTGTTTTAGCGATACTAATATGTTGTTGTTGTTAAGTTCCGTTGAGTCGATTCTGATTTGTGTTCCAAGGAGCGAATGGTGGTTTGAATCGCCAGCCTTGCAGTTCAAATCGACCCTGCGGTATAGTGCTTATCCTACAGCAAAATACCAGTACTCTATACTATTAGGGTAGGTAGATTTATCTTCATATATCAATATATCAATGTATATTTTTTGAGAATGAAGTATAAAGAAGAAAAATGAAATTGACTTCTGCTCAGTTACCAATAATATAACTAATATGTTGTAATTCAATGTAGAAACATTTTACTAAACAACGCTGTGGTTATTCATAGAGCCTAAGAAATATTACATTGAAGGGATTAACAGCTATATTTATCACATATTATTGTATGGTTAAAACATCACTAAACATCACTAAAAATTCTATATAGTATGGGAAAAGGTTCAGTGGGTGGGTGAGTGGGGGGGGGGTGAGACCAACCCTAGTGACGCCACTGGAAACAAGTAGAACTTATTTCAGATAATATCACAGAGTATATAAAATTAATTGACCTTGAATTTATTTCTTACTTTAAAAAACCTGGAAGCATCTTGATAAAAATCTCAATTTATGATGCATTTCCTGTGTGCAATACGATAGTACCCACATAGTTGGATTTCATGGAAAAGATCTGAGCTCATTTGTTTCCTGTGAAAGTCTGTTTTCTAGAATACTTGCTTCAAGCAGAGAAAAGGCAAAATTCTATTAATTATAAAAGTTTGTTGCTAATTCAACACTACTCGTAGCTTTTGTCGATCCTTAAACTTGAATCTATATAGGCAGCTGTCACCTCAAAACTGAGTCATTGTATGTGAATAATGAAGGTGCTTATTTTCATGGGCTAATCTAAAACATTTCTAACAAGAGAAAATATTTCAAAACTATATATGGCTATGTCAACCGCCAAATTCCCTCGGTCCAGTTGAAGGCGCGCAGAGTTTCCTGTCAACTTGCTCTCTGAAGCAGAACAGTCTCCAAACCAACCACTGTGGCTTGCTCCGTATTAACTACTGGCTACCTTGGAAATGTACCGTCTCTCATTGTAAAACTCCCCAAAGGGCAATTCAAATCACATTTAGAACTTCCTATTTACATTGCAACGGCCATGGAAGCAGTTTGAATGTCACAGTATAACTTTGGTACCAAATGGTGAGTGTGTTCAGCGGATTCTGTTTCAGAATTCACTTCACATGAGCAAATTTTCATCAAGTGAAAGGGGGAGCGGGTGTCATGGGATAAGTTCATGTTATGAACTCTGGTCTTAACTCTTTATCATTTTTAACAAGTAAACTAGTGTTTTTGCCCTTGCAAGGAAGAAGTTACCACATGACTTCAAATAGTACCCTCACCTTTTAAACTCTCAAGCAGAAATGTTACCGAGAGAGAACAAACCACTAATATTTCCAGTTAAATTTCCTGTGTAAGTAGGGGCAATTTTGTTAAAACAGCCTCAAAAATAGAGGCAACTTGCCCAGAGACACAATGTTTTTCTAAGTTGCTAATTATTTTTCTTTCTCAAGCTATGATCATCCTGAGAATAAATGTATTGGGACACTGTTTTTATCTTCTAATTTCTTTTTCTTTTCTTTTCTTTCTTTCTTTTTTTTTTTTTTAACATATGGATGTATAGGGATAGATTTCTCAAGGCCAATATAAAATTCCATCACATTTAACAAACTTTGTTTCTGTATTCCTCCCCTCCCAATTTATCACATGGTCTATGGAAAGGAAATGTTATTCCAAATAGACAGTCACATTTATGCATACCATCTTAAACTCCAGATTCCAAGCCCACCCAACTGAGGGGAACTTGAAAGAGCTCTTTCAGACAAAGCTGGAGGGTAAGCCTGGCATTGAACAGCACTGGTTCATGTCACTATGAAATGACTGGATATTTGAGTTCACCTCCATCCACGGTTCCCTAGTTTAGACATGTACATTTATTTGTGATAAATGACATGTCTAGCAATTTATTAACTCCAACATTGAAATAATTTATTCTGTCTATTTCAAAGTTTGTTTAAATTTAAAAAGTATACCTACAGGCAGCATATAATTACTATACACTCCTAAGCCCAGAAAGAAAACAATAAACACAAAACAAAATAAAACAAAACTCCTTCTTTATTTGGTCCTTTAATTGTTCTGGAAAAAATGGCATAGGCACCCTTTAGTTAATAGTACCTTTGGAAATCTCAGAATAAAAGCTGGGATGGTTGCCTTAATCTGCAAATGGATCGAACCCAGCCGGGCCTGGGACTGTATGTATTACCATCATTAAAGCAGAAAAATGCACAAATACATTTGAAGATAATAAACCTATCAAGAGTCATTTGGTGGCTCAAATGGTTAAACACTCGACAACTAGTCCAAAGATTGGAGGTTCAAATTCACTCAGAGGTGCCTCAGAACTAGGCCTGATGATCTGCTTCTATAAGGCCACAACTTTGAAAACCCAGTGAAGCTCAGCTCTGCGTGCACACATGGGATCATGATGACTTAGGATCAACTCATGGGAAAGTAATAGCAGACCTAACAATGTCTGCACTATTCCCAATGCTGGGCTATTCACAAGTAATTGTTACTAAGAAACCACTGAGGTAGAAATTAATCTTCCTTTCACCATTTGACTCTGTTAGAGCACTTTGAGTACTAGAGTGGCACAGTAGGATAAGCACTGGATCACAAGGT